CCCCCCAGGGTCCCCCAGTCCGCACTCTCAGCCCCCAGGGCCCCCAGCCGCACTCTCACCCCCCCCAGGGCCCCCAGCCGCACTCTCACCCCCCAGGGTCCCCCAGCCCGCACTCTCACCCCCAGGGTCCCCCAGCCCAGTCTGCACTCTCACCCTCCCCAGGGTCCCCCAGCCCTCACTCTCACCCCCAGGGTCCCCCAGCCCTCACTCTCACCCCCAGGGTCCCCCAGTCCAGTCTGCACTCTCACCCTCCCCAGGGTCCCCCAGCCCTCACTCTCACCCCCAGGGTCCCCCAGCCCTCACTCTCACCCCCAGGGTCCCCCAGCCTGCACTCTCCTCACCCCCGAGGGTCCCCCAGCCCTCTCACCCCGAGGGTCCCCCAGCCTGCACTCTCCCCCCCCCAGGGTCCCCCAGCCCGCACTCTCCTCACCCCCCCGCCCCCCGAGGGTCGCCCAGTACAATGCATGGGACCACAGTGATGGGTGATGCAGGCTGCCCTGGGGTGTTTCCACTGGACCTCTGCTCACCTCCTGCTCATATAGTAAGCTTTCCACTCCTTCATGATGCCCTGGAAGGTGTCCAGGTCCACACATGGGTTTGTATTTTCAGGATCAAGCATGGTCCCCAGCTCTTCAAGGACACTGTCTTCTGAGTCTCGGCCAGTGGTTTGTCTCAGGTAAGTTATTATTTTGTTGACTCCTACTGTGCCTTAGGGGGAATAAAGGAAAATTACTTTTTGTATTTTGTTTTTTTGAGACAGGGCTTCTCTGGGTAGCTTTGCGCCTTTTCCTGGAACTCACTTGGTAGTCCAGGCTGGCCTCGAACTCATAGAGATCCGCCTGGCTCTGCCTCCTGAGTGCTGGGATTAAAGGCATGCGCCACCACCAGCAGCCGGAAAATTACTTTTGAAACACATTGTTTTGAGACAGGTTCTCATGTATCCTGGGCCAGCCCCAAACTTTCTTAAGTGTCTGATCCTTCTGCCTGCACCTCTTGAGTGGTGGGCTACAGTGTGCATGACCACACCTATTTATGTGATGCTGGGGGCTGAACCTAGGGTTGTGTCTCCCAGGCAACAGAGCTGCGTTCTGAGTTTGGAAGACATTTTTGATTCAATTTTATGTACTTTGCACGTGTAAGTTGGTGCACATGTGTGTATATAGAGGTCAAAGAACAGCTTTAAGAGCCAGTTCTCTCCTTCCATCCACTAGTGGGTTCTGGGGACTGAACTCAGGCTGCCAGGCTTGGTGGCAGGCACCTTTACCCACTGAGCCATCCCACTGGCCTGAAACATGCATTTTTGATGGATGAGCTGCTGATGCTTCTAAAAATAATCCCTATAACCCTTGCCGTCCTGTCAAGCTGGCTGCGGGCAGGCTTGGGCTGGAGTTCTATCAACTTGGTAGAAGGAGCACATGGAACCCTGCAAACCGACCTCTGCCCTCCATGTGCACATGCTCATGCACACATACAAGGCAGATAACTAAATGTAATAAAAATTTTAAATAATAAAATCAATTAACTTGTAGACATGTGTACTGAAATATTTCTGGGTGCAATGTGCTATCTGAGAATTAGCCCAAAGGAGAAAATGGGGAGAGTCAGAAATGAGACCTTGTTGGTTACGACACACAAATATGAAGGGCTTTAAGATCATATCACGTTTATTTGGTTATGTGAGGGAGAAAGCGCATTGTGCAGTGCGGCAGGCCTGTGGAGGTCAGAGGAAATTTGTCGGAGGGCTTTTCCTCTCCCACGTGTGGGTCCTAACTTGGGTGGTAAGGACTGGATGCTGCTGAGGCCTCTGTGTGCTGAGCCACCTTCCTGGCCAGTGGAAGGCTTCTTCATGTTACCCTCTTTACTCTGTATATTATTTAAAACATTTCTGCAGTTAGAAAAAAGCCAGAGCCACGTTGACAGAAGAAACCATGGAAAGATATATAACTAATCATGAAGAACAGTTAAGAAATTGTTTGCTGATTTTCCGCATCTGTTTGCTTACCAAGGTTACCAAGATGATTCCATTTTTACAATGGACAGAAAGCATTTGCACACTAAAAATAAACCTGTGGAAATTTTATAAAGAACTACCTCCCCCACAAAAAACCCAGAAGTGAAAAGCTAAAATTACAAGTTTTTAAGCTAAATTTGGAGAGTAGTTTCATATACTTGAAGTATCTATTTCTTGAGACCAGTCCTATGAAGTGTAAGTCACTCTGAGCAGTGAACAGGGAAGTCCCTGAAATAAAGTAACAGCCGTGAGCTAACGGCTGGGCTCACTTTCAGACGAGGTTGTGTTCACCCCGTGTGAAGACATGGGGACACAGTCCCACACAAACTGTTCCCCTCAGGAAGATGACCTGGCGGGGTCTCTCATACAGCTCACCTCTGTGCTCAGTGTCCAACTCTTGAAAAATGCCTGCCAGAAATTCTTCTCCATGGGTCCCCTGGGCACTGTAGGCTCCATCTGCCTGGAGACCCTCCCTTTCTGTTTTCAACCCTGAAGAAAGAAAAACTGTTTTGGAATCATGGTAATAATCTCTCATGCGGGAGTGTCAATCTGAAGAAATTTTACTTCAGTGACCATTGGCTTGCAATACTGATATCTTCAATAGATCATTTTTAAAAGTGGTTTTGGGGGCTGAGTGCAGCTCAGAGGTATAGCACCTGTCCGTATGAGGAGGCAGGGCCTGGGTTCGACCCCTAGCAACACACACACACACACACACACATTAAACTTAGTCATAGGATAGACTAAAACACATGCCTTTAATCCCAACACTCAGAAGGCAGAGGTAGGTGGAGCTCTGTGAATTAGAGGCTAGCCTGGTCTACAAAGCAAGTTCCAGGCTAGCCAGGGTTATATAGTGAGACCCTGTCTCAAAACAAAATAAAGGAGTAGGGACACAGGGGGAGGGGTTTATAGCCCTGCCATATTAAAGAGTATTGTGAAATACAAAAGAAAATTTTAAATTTTATTTATGTATTTTTTATGTATGAGTGCTCTGTCTGCGTGTACTCCCAGCATTATAGATGGTTGTGATCCACCATGTGGTTGCTGGGAATTGAACTCAGGACATCTGGAAGAGCAACCAGTGCTGTTAACCACTGAGCCATCTCTCCAGCCCTACAAAAGAAATTTTAAGAAAACAAGATGGCTTAGTGGTGAGGGCACTGGCTGCTCTTCCAGAGGACCTGGGTTCAGTCCCCAGCACCCACATGGTGGCTTACAGACATCTGTAACTCCAGTTCCTAGGGATCTGATGCTCCTTCTTCCCTCTGTGGGCATCAGGCATGAGTGGCTCACACACACGTGCATCACACACATGTGCATCCAGGTAAAACACAAACACACATTAGAAGAGAATTGTAAAGAAGAATAGAGAGGAAGCAGGAGGAGCTAGGGATGTGCCATCCTGTGAGGTTTTGCCTATTAACACATGAGACTGGAAACAATCTACATGGAGTTCCCCAGGTCTTGGACCGACACATTTACCTCCTCCATGGTCTGTTTCCTTGGTTCCTGCAATGGAGCTCGTTTGTGGGTGCTGGGTTTGAACTTGAGGCCTGTAGGAATGAACCCCACCATTGACCTACACCCCAACCAGAACCCACATTCTCTTAGGGCTATTTTGCGGTTATGCAAAAAAGTTAACGAGCTGTTTCAGGAGAACGCACATGAAGACTGGGCTTGAGTGACATTTATTTCAGGTTGGTGAAGAATGCCACATGGTGTGGTTGCAAATATGAGTGAGAATTCGGGTTTTATGTAGATGTGTACAGAATACAGGCTTTCTTTAAAAAGGGGAGAGACACACACCTCAAACAGAAAGGATAGAGGGGTGGCCAGTGTTCAAGAGCATTGGCTGCTCTTACAGAGGACCCAGAGTTTATTGCCTGCACCCACGTGGTGACTCGTAACTGGTGCCCAACATCTGTGACTCTAGTTCCAGGGGATCTAATCCCCTCTTCTGGCCTCCAAGGGCGTGACACACATGTGATATATATATATATATATATATATATATATATATATATATATATATATATATATATATATATATATAATGGAGGAAAAATACTCATATGCAAAAAATACATGAAAGTGTTTTAAATGGAATTGGGATGGGGGAGGGGACAATGTGAATGACCAACATGAAACTGCTGTGACAATGGTCATAGCTTTGTATACCAACCTAAAAATCAAAAAGTAAAAAGCCAGGAAGGGAACAGACACCTCTATTCAAGTGCATGAAGTGTTTTGTTTTTTTAAATTTAGGCATACTAAAAAGCAGATGTGTGGTGGCATTGTGTTCCCCGAAATATTGTGCACGCTAATAAACTTATCTGGGGTTGGAGAACAAACAGCCACAATATTAACATAGAGGATAGGCAGTGATAGCACAAGCCTTTAATCCTAGCATTCCAGAGGCAGAGATCTACCTGGGTCTCTGTGTGTTCAAGGATACAGCCAAGCATGATGACTCATGCCTTTAATCCTAGAAACTGAGCCTTTAATCTCAGGGAGTGATGGCAGAAAGCAGAAAGGTATATAAGGCGTGAGGACCAGAAACTAGAAGCATTTTGGCTGGTTAAGCTTTCAGGCTTTGGAGCAGCATAGTTCAGCTGAGATCCATTTGGATAAGGACTCAGAGGCATCCAGTCTGAGGAAACAGGATCAGCTGAGGAACTGGCAAGGTGAAGTAGCTGTGGCTTGTTCTGCTTCTCTGATCTTCCAGCATCCACCCCAATAACTGGCCTCAGGTTTGATTTTATTAATAAGACCTCCTTAAGATTCATGCTACACAGATGTGAAGCAAATATTTTATTTTATTTTTTTGAGACAGGGTCTCTTCTTATGTAGTTCTGGCTGCCCTGGAATTTACTATGTGGACCAGGCTGGCCTTGAACTCAAGAGATCCCTCCACCTCCGCCTCTGCCTCTGCCTCTGCCTCCCAAGTGCTGGGATTAAAGCTGTGCACCACCACACCTGGCATGAGCAAATACTTTAAAGCGTGATTATTTACCATCCTCATTCAGAGATAATTTTCTCACCACCTGATCCCAAGGAGTGGAAAACATAGCGTCCCTCTCAGAGCTGCGAAGAAAGCCAAGGTCTGAGGTGCACAAAGAGTTCGTACTGCAGCTACCACCTAAATCCTTGCTGGGGAAGCATCCCCCTTGGCCAGACTGAGACTCCAAAGATGGAGGATGCTGGTCGCTCCATGGCCTCTGCTGTGAGCAGTTCTCAGAACCCTCCAGACCAACCAAGTCCAGGCCGTCCTGAGGAGAGCTGGGCGAGGTTCTTGAGGACAAGGTTTCAGGGCGGGAAGCGAGGCTGTGCCTTCTCTCAGAACTTGAGAAGTGGGAGTCCAGCACAGGAACATGAGTAGCAGTCACTCTCGCCAGCATCTCCCCAAAGGCTCTCTTGGTTTTAGACCGTGGACTGTCAGGGCTGCTGGACTTGCATTTAGCAATCTGTCGAATCGGATTCAAAAGGGCCTCTCTCTTCCGAATGGCTCTGATTTTTCGACAAACACTCTCTGCTGGGTTGTGACTCTTCTTGGATTCTTTCCTCACTGAGGCCATCACTGACTTCCCATGCGTTAGTTAGAAGTGGCTAGATAGTAGGCGAGAGCAGACACGATTTTTGAAGTTAGCATCGTCCTAACAGTGATTTTGAAGTTCAGCTATTTATTCCCAAACTGACTTTGCAGGGACTGGATACCAGGTGTTCACCTGCTCTCAACAACGTCCCCTGCACTTAACACGGGCACTCAAATCATCAGGAACTGCCAACAGCCAACATATATGAAGTTCTCACCTTGAGCAGGTATATGCTATGTAGCAGCTCATCCTTCAAACAGTGCTCTGAGGGGCTGGAGACTTGGTCTAGTGGCTAAGAGTACTTACTTGTTGCTCTTGCAGAGAACCTGGGTTCAGGTCCCAGCACCCAAAGGTGGCTCACAACTATCTATAATTCCAGCTCTGGAGGATCTGATACCTTCTTCTGGCCTCTCAGGCTCCAGGCATGCATACAGTGCACAGACACACGCACAGGCAAAACAAACAAACACACACACACACACACACACACACACACACACACACACACACTGCAAAATAAAGAAAATCTTAAAAACAAGTAAATAAAAGTAAATCTTTGGAAACAACCACCACTCTTGCTCTGGGGTAACATGACTACTGCCTCATTTTCTGGCAAAGTGAGAACTAGGCACACACCCAAATCTCTTACAGTGCCAGAAGCACTAGGACTGTGGCTGTTGGTACAGTCCTTGCCTACCGTGCACAAAGCCCCGGGTTTGATCCCCAGACGGGACAAGCTGGGTGTGATCTACACACCTGGAATGCCAGCTCTCAGTGAGTGAAAGCAGGAGGCCAGGAGTTCTGGGTCATCCACAGTGGAGAGGCAAGTTCCAGGCCAATCTGGGCTTCAGAAAAGCAGAAAAGAATAGATCTAGACCCCATATTTAAATCCAGGCCATCAAGATTCTGGAGCTGAACTTTTAGTCATATCATTTTTAATTTATTATCTATCTATCTATCTATCTATCTATCTATCTATCTATCTATCTATCTATCTATCTATCTATTTTTGAGACAGGGTTTCTCTGTGTAGCCCTGGCTGTCCTGGAATTTACTCTGTAGACCAGGCTGGCCTCAACCTCAAAGAGATCCACCTGCCTCTGCCCCTGAATGTTGGGATAAAGTCGTGCACCACCACCACTCAGCCGGTTATACATGACATCATATGACGCTATAGTTTGTAATGGTACCAACAGCTCCCACACATACACCAACACCATCTCCATTGACACAGTCCTGCTTCTCATCAATTGAGAACAAAATCTACTTGGTACATAGGTGTATGTGTTTTGTGCCTGAACTTCATATAAGCCCTGTCAGATATATGGAAAATCCCCTTTACAGAGAAGCTGAGACTCAAACAGATTCAGTTAATGGTCCCAGCACTACGGTTTGAGCCAGAGAATGTCTGATTCTAGTACAGCTTTTGCTTTGTTTTGCTGGGGGTAGGACTGGAACCCAGGGCTTTTTATAGGCTTAGTGTCTGTTTTATTAGTGTGCTGTGCCCCCCAGCCCTCCAGCTTATTTTTATTGCATGATGAGATAGTCTTTAAAAAAAAACACATGACTTTTTCTTATAAGAAAAAATTAGAGATTTGGAAATAAACCCAAATTTTTGCTTAAATAGTAGAAACAGGGGCATAGTTAGGAAGAGTTTCTAAGACCTAATAAAAAATTGAAGTCATAGGACTTATTCCCAGTCCCATAACAATGAATTCTAAGCTAATAAACTTTATTTGGGTATGGGATGTATGCCTTCTTTTTGCACTGTTAGGAATCAGACCCAGGACTTTCCACTTCTAGGCAAGCTCTACCACTAATTCAGCTTCAGCCTGGTGAGGCAATCTTCAAAGTGGAATGCAGATATAGCTCAGTAACAAAGGGTTTGCTTGGCTTGTGTGAAGCCTGGGTTCGATTCACAGCACTCCAAAGCCAGATACAGCTTGAAAGGTCTATAATGACCAAGAGTACTGGAAAGACTAGGGAGAAGATGCCAGAGTGCAGGCTCTGACTTCATCTCCGATCTGATGGCCATTAACTTCAGCCAGTGAAGTGTCCAACAATGGTGGCCATTAAAGGAACTTGCTTGTTGTCGAGTACAATACATTTTTGTTCGTCTAAGGCTGATCTTGTGATCTCAAACTTAAAACACACTATTGTATTCAACAAAATTATTCTATTAACAATACAAAGTCTAGAGTCAGTGCAAAGGTACTGGACTCAAATATTTCTGATTTCTTTTGGGATTTATAATTTTACTGAACATTTTGTCATATTAATTTTTTAAGATTTATTTTATTTTTATTTATATGTGCCTGTGTGTATTCACATGTGATATGTACATGTGCCCAATGAGGCCAGATGAGGGCAGCAAATCTCTTGGAGCTGGAGTTACAGGTAGTTGCGAGCTGCCCAATGTGGGTGTATGGAACTGAACCAAGTCTTCTAAGAGAGCAGCAGGCAGTCTGAACCACGGAGCCATCTTTCCAGCCATAATTTTGTTTTCTGATACATATTTGTTGTTTCCTTGGATATACTTTAATTCTTGATATCAAAAGCCATGAAACGGCTGGGTGGTGGTGGTACACACCTTTAATCCCAGAACTCAGGAGGCAGAGACAGGCAGGTCTCTGTGAGTTCAAGGCCAGCCTGGTCTACAGAGTGAGTTCCGGGACAGCCAAGGCTACCTTGAGAAACTCTGTCTCGAAAACTAAAACAACCAAAAATCCAAAACCAAAACAAGAACAACGAAAATCCATGAAGCAAATCTTCTATAAAAAGCCCATATATCATTGGCAGCATTGACACCTTGCAATCACACCACACCTATAATTATCAGGTTCCCAAGATTTCCTCCCAGCTGCTGGGACTGTCTGTCCCAGCTACTTTCAGATGACACCCTTGCTTAAAAATTTGAGAGGAAAGGAAGAGCTAAAGTGTTGACGAGAAGTCATCTGTGAACAGAACACATCTGAACCACAGCTGACAGAGTGGTGACTTAGAGGGGATGTGCTGGAGAGCCCAAGTCCTTCCCAGTGCCTTGTCAGAGACTGGCTACCTCTTCAGCTGAGGTCTCAAGTTGGCCATTTCTCTCTTCTAGAGCCAAATAACTGAGGTAGGTTTGGCATGAGGCGAACAGGGACCCTTGAATAGACCCTGGACTCCCCAGATGTCTGCTACACCACCTGCTCTTCTGAAAGCTATAATGAGAGGGCATCTGACTCCCATAGAGCGTTTAGGCAAGATTTCTGTGGGCTTTTGCAGTCCATTTTTCTCCTGTGTCCTGCAGGTCTATGACTCGGGTAATCATTGCTTGGCACTGAGGTACCAGTTCTTACAGAGAGACCCCTGAAGACACTGTCCCTGACACAGACAAAGCTTCCTAGGATTAGCTTGAGTTATTCTGATGCAGCAGATCTGAGGTGGGAGTCAGAGGAGACAGAAAGATAAAGATTTCTCAGTGTGAGCTGCCTTCTCTGTCTTTTCTGTTTTGCCTCTAGTTTTCTTCTAAGCTTTAGATCCTGTGTGACCTTCCAAAGCACTAAGACCCGCAAATCTAGGGTGGTGTGGTGACAGACCCCTCTGATCCCACCACTCCACTCCAGGAGGTAGAGTCAGGAGATCAGAAGATAAAGGTTACTCTTGGCTTTATATGAAGCTCAAGGCAAGCTGGGGGCACGCAAGACCTTCTCAAACAAAACAAACACACAGCTCATACTTGTTCTGCGCTGTGTCTGCCTGTGACAAGGCTCTGACAGAAAGGGAGAAACTAAGAGTGAACTTTGCTAGAACAACTCGCTTGGAGCATTTTGTGAGTGTGCGTGTGCGTGCGTGCGTGTGTGTGTGTGTGTGTGTGTGTGTGTGTGTGTGTGTGTGTTTAAAGACGGGTCTCACTATTTAGCCCTGGATAGTCTGGTACTTTCTATGGAAACCAGACCCGCCTTCAAACCCACAGAGATCTGCCTGCCTCTGGTTCTTGAGTGCTGAAATTAAAGGCGTGCACCACCACACCCTGTTGGAATCATTCTTTAAAGAGAAATCATGGACTGGAGATGGTGCAGAGGTTAACAGTGCTGGCCGGTCTTGCCGAGGACCCAGGTTCAGTTCCCAACACCTATGTGGTGGCTCACAACCATCTGTCATTCCAGGGGAACTGACACCCTCTTCTGATCTCCCTAGGTACCAGGCACACATGTGGCACACAGACATATGCAGGCAATATGTAAGTATTGCTTCATACAAATAAATCTGTATATACATCTCTCATACATATAAAACAAAAATAAACCTTTAAAAGAAAATTCTCACTTTATGCTTTATATTTTCATACAAAGATGACCCATTTGTTTGCTGAACTCTCAATGTCAAGAACCGTGTGTGTGTGTGTGTGTGTGTGTGTGTGTGTGTGTGTGTGCGCGTGCGCGCGCGCGCGCGCCTGAGTGTGTTTGTGTGCCATGTGTTTCAAAGTGCCTGTGTCAACCTGAAGAGGACATTAGATCCCAGGTCCTGGAGTTCCAGGTGGTTGTGAGCTGCCAAGCAGGTACTGGGGATCAAACCCAAGTCCTCTGGGAGAGCAGCCAGTGCGCTGTGAGCCGTCTCCCAGGCCATGAGAACCACCCCTCTCCAAACAGCAGCTGCATTCCTAGTGCCCTCAGTTATAACCTTTAATAACTATGCCCATAGGCAGTCAGCCACTGTTTACTAAATACCCAAATCGCACTGATCTCTGCAGACGCTGGGGGTACTATGGTGAGTGAAACACCCGCTCTCCTAAAACCTGCCATCTCTCCACACCTCCAGATTGCGTCCAAAGCACACAAATGAAATTTGTTTTAATAGAGTATATCCCAGCTATTTCATGACTCAGTCACAGATTAAAGAGAACTTATTTGAGAACCAAGTACCACTGAGGTCTTGATCTGTCACCACTCAAAAGGGTCCGAGAGCACCCTGACTTAGGAGGGCATGAAAAACTAAGCTGTATCTATGTCG